CGAGGGGTAAAACGCCTTCGTTGGTAGGGACTGGGTTTGCCGGGCCAGCCAGGGCGCGGGGCGGCGTGGAAGTACGAATTTGCGCTCGCACAGCCGTCAGGTTTCACACAGTTAATTGCACAATTAGTAATGCCGCAATTTACTTTTCCACAAGTAATTTTTTAACTGTTCAAGATACCGTGTCTACACTTTCATCGTACCCGTAGGCAGCTTATGTTTTCCCTGGTGCCGCAGCGCTGTACGCGTTTGTTTAAATGCAGCTACGACGCGTGAGGCAAATTTGACCGATAGTTACTCAAGTCCGAGGAGCGGGGACAACTCCCCTCCGTCAAAGAAAAGCTTGCAGTGAAGCATCTAATCAACCGGGATACATTAACTTCGTGAGGGAAGACGTACAAGGAAGTCCGTGCACCTTAAAAATGCCCGTTAGCACAAAATTCCATCAGCATTTCATTTCCCAGCGAGGTTTGGAGGACAATCTGCCTTCCTAGGTATAAATGCTGCAGAGGAGCGAGGCTGAGCCTTAGCAACTGTGATAAAGAAAGCGATATCACAAGCGATTCTTGTGATAAAGAAGGCCAGGAAGTGTCTGGCCTCCCCTGCAGATTTTTTTTACTGCAAAATCTGGTATTTTTATAAGGTATTGGAAAAGGCGGATTTCTAATTGATTTGTAATTATGACTTGTGTTGAAACCATGAAGAAAATGTTTGTGTTGAAGAGGGACAGAAATCTTCCAGAGGGATTAAAATCACAGTAGGCAAAGCTGCCTCCGGATGGGTACATGAAATGCTTCAACCACACAACTGCCCTCGCACAGACACCTCTTGTTAAAACAGCTCGCTTCTCTCACGTAGCCAAGACACGACCTTACCCAGGAAAAAAAACTATTGTGTGGATGACCACTGGTCCACAAGATCCTGAAAGGTTTGCCCTGTTTTGCCGCTGTCTTAACCCAAACGTGTGGAAAAGCTATACCGATATAGCGGGACTGGTTAAACAGGGAGAGAATAAAACGTACGGCCCCTTGCTTTGAGCGGTGGCGTCTTGGGAACTTGTAGCAGCGAAGCTGGAAGTCCGCGTGTCCCGGCTGACGGGCCAGGGCTTCTGGAGCCTACAGGGAGGCACGAGTTGCCAAACGGGAGGTGAGAAAGGATTTAGTGAGGACTTGACTTTGCGCTTGGACACACGCCGTAGAGCCTCTTATGAGAGACAGCTCCAGCTAGCCTGGGACTTAAAAAAAATGAAAAAAGAGAATTTGCTGGAAGTTTGCGAGTGCTGCCACTTTGTGGTCTCACGGAGGAAGTGTCATACCCAGCGCAACCCCAGAGATGGTGCTTGGGGCGGAACGGGGCGTTTCTAGCGTGTTCTGGGGCAGGATTTGGGCTGGCAGGGTTAGCCACACAGTCCTGAAGCTTTCTTCCAGCTAATTTCTTTCTCTGATACTCTCGCTTTTGTTTTCAGTGTCTGGCCTTCCCTGCCAGGGTGGAGCTTCTAGCCTGGCACAGCTCTCCGAAGAGAGCGGCCTCCCACCCCAGGGCCACATCGCGCACGCCAGCGCTCTCTGTGCCGCGGCTCCGAGGAGCTCATCGCGGAGGCCTTCCTGGCGAGCACGGACAGAGCTGCTGTAACGCACACCACAATAGGCACCTCCATGAACAAATGGGATACCGAAATCCCCACGTTTACTCTTGAAAATGGTGGTCTATACCTCCGTGCTAGAAATGAAAGCAGCTTCTTTCTCTCTAGGAAGTGTGACAACATGTAAGAACATGGAAAAAAAAATCTCACTGAAATATTTTTAGTATTATCAAATGCTGTGACATTTATGGTGCGTGTCCTTGGGAAGACGAATAGAGCATAAGCATCCTGAGTTTATTCCATTTACCCTCAGGAATCCAGATCTTCTGAACAGCATGAAAATAGATTTTTAAATTATTATTATTGCACATGGAGACCTTGATCATGCCTGTATCAGAGTGATTTTTGGCAATGTATTTTAGTAACAGAAACAGGCACCTTGTGGAAAGGAAATTTTCATTTTGTAACTCCTTTCATATCATATATTTTTAAGACCATTTCATATGTACATTAAAATATTACAGCAAGAGGTGTTGCCTAGTACTAAGAAGCAGTGGTAGTACGGCATACTGAGGATTTGTTTTTATGGCCATTTTATACCGTTGTGAATTCACTGCTCTGCTAAAAAGTTTCCCTGGAATCGCTGCCAGAATCTAAACCACAAAACTGAAAACCCGGTCGTCTTAACGTGACATAGACTGAAATCTCTAATATAAATCTTAAACATTTTTTAGGAGACAGTGTTTCCGAGCACTGTGAGTGGAAATGGAAGTGAAAATCAATCATTGAGGAGTGCTGTGGTGTACAGTGCCACATTGCCTGGAGGTAGTTTTGTCCCATAGACTGATATGGGACAAATGATACAAGAATCAAGAGTTAAATATATCTCCTCCTCATGCCCGTGGCACGCAAGACTTCTGCAGCCGTACGGCTGTTAGGTTTGCCTTGGAAAGACAGGTCCTCGGGGAGCCACACGGCCGCGGCGGAGGCAGCGGAGAGGGACGCCCGTCTGCGTGCACGGGGCTCGTCCGTGGGGAGGCACATACTTGGCAGGAGCTGGGCCACCAAATCCCCTCCCACGGTACGATCCGTGACATTCAAAGAGCACAGCCGGTTAGGGAGGACACACGCTTGGTACCGGTAACAGCGATGAGCCGGATGCCAGCGGCGCTACGAAACCCTTAACGCTCTTCGAGGCGAGTAATGCTGATTTTCGAACTGCTCACAGACCGAGCGGCACTGTGCAAAGCCCTCGAAAAAGACGGCGGGTGCCGCCTCGACAGAGCCCCAACTCGTTTCCGAAACTCTGTGATTCATTTCAGATTTCTGTCTCCTAATTTAGTGGCCAAGCTAAGCGACCTGCCCAACAGTATTTTATTTCCCAGCGTCTAAAGGACAGCAGATGGATTTCCTGGTTAGCTAATCTCAAAAGCCATTGCTGTCTCCCCCCCTGCTAAACCAACTGATTTGTTTATTTGAGTGAATTATTTGATTTACTAACTATTACCCTTGTCCTGGCAGCGTTGGCATGTAGTGTTTTCTTGTTTTATCTGTTAATTGTTAAATCACAATATGGTTTCTTATTTTCCCACAGCTGAAGAGGTCTGGATCTCTTTAGGAACAAATTAAATCCAGATAGTGCAGGCAGTTCCTTTAACAAAGTCTTTCTTTGCGTTTCAGAAAATACAATGAAATATTTCTTAAAAGCTCAGATTACACACTAAGCTCCCTTCAGCAAGTTTTAGCTAATAATTTATAAAAACAGACTCTAAGAAGGAAAAAAAAATGGGACGGCAGCAACTGGCCGGCCACTCCCGTCAGAGCCGCTGCCCCTCCTGGCTCCGCACTTTTGTGCCTGCAGATTCAGACTTTTCAGCTGGGTCATTTTGCCCCAGTTCCTCATTACAAATCCGCACTTACGTCTCTTGTAGAGCATCATCCATAGGTTTCACAGGTTTGTGCTGTGCCCGGTACACGTACCGCGGGGCAGCCGGCGTGCTGTCCTTCTTGGATGAGCAGAGGTCACTGGCAAGTTAGAGAAGCGAAAGTAAACTGGGAGGGAGCGGGTCCGGCTGTGCACAGCCGGCAGAGGCCTCCCGGCCGTGTGCGGTGCACGGCTGCCGGGAGCACAGACCCCGGCAGTGCTCCTTCGCTCCTGGGAGCCAGCCGCAGTTTGCTGTTGATTTTAAGGGACACGTAATCAGCTCTGAAAACCAAGACGTTTGTTTACTCAAAGTTATGGGTTTGGGGTTTTGGTTTTTTTTTTTGGTGCTAATAATTTCTAAGATTGCTTTGCATATAGAATGGGTAATTTTCCAGTCTTATTTGTATAGTCATAGTATCATAGTAGTATTATTGGTATAATCACCTTTTATTTCTTCGTTGGTTAAAAGGAGATGAAGAAAAACAATTCTCTGACTCCAAACACAAAAGCAGAAGCTGTGCCGCAAGTTCTCAGCTCTTTATTCTCGACCAGCTAAGCCAAACTATTAGATGTGAACAGAACTGACTTGGGTAAAAACATAGCCTGGAGCATCCAGAGGTCTGGAAATCCCTGATCAGTTTTAACTTCTTGTATTCATTATATGAGTGAATTACACGCACCCCGATTCTGCTGTATGACACCCTATCCTTGGAAATTTTGACGACGTTAGTAAAACAAGAAGAGGATGCAGATAATGGAAAAATTGAGTACCTCTTGTTCCTGGCACAATGGAAAAGTCAGCGTATAGAATAAGCCCTTGTATACTGATCATTAATCATCTTGATAAATGTTACAGAAGTTACTGTGTTGGCTGTTAGGTTGTACATGGGATAATGAACAGCCAGCTTCACATACATGTTCAAAACCGCACACAGCTCGATATCTGATCCCTTGTAAAGTACAAATCAAATTATACACACAAGAAAAAATACTCAACTAATTATTTTTTTTTCTAGAAAAACCCAGAACATTGACATTCTTTGAAGACAGAAAGCAAATAAAGCCATTTGAGCATCCTTCCCTTAAAATAGGTGTATAAATAAACAGCTGACAGATTTGGCAAACTTGAGATTCAGCAGAGCTCTGGGGAGAGAACAAAGCCATTTTATTTAGCGTCCTGACATGGAAGTCATCACCCTGCCAGCTCAGTGCCTCACCTGGCCACCACGGGCCAGGAAGGACAGAAAGGATGGTGTGCAGCCAGCATGCAACCCACGGGCTTTATGAATTAAAGGCCGGCATCTGGGCGTGGATTAGAAGCCACTGCAGACTCCAGCTCATAGATGCAACATACCTCCTGTGGGAAACACTACTGTGAGCATTTCCACATAGCCTTGACCTTGAAACACGTGAGCAGTCTGAATACACGCATGCTTAAGTATAGCATCAGGGATCCAGGGAACAAGCTGCTTCTGCTCTGCTTTACACCAGATGAACTGCCTCGCTCGCTGCTGTGCCAGAGGAGTTTCATGTTTCCATCATTGCATTGGCATTAGCTACCAGGAATGGAGACTGGCTTTTGAAACATCTTGACGCGCAGGGTGCTGGGGACTCTACAGTGTTCCCACCAGCTGGTACGTTCTGGGTGCAGTGACAATAGAAATGGCTATTGGTTGTGGAATAATTATACAAGGGCCTTTCAACACTGGCTCTGTCGATCAGCTCTCTCTTCATAACAGTCCTTAAAAAATAAGTAGAAAAGATCACCTCCTCATGTTACTGAAGGAAGAAACAGATGAGGTTCCCTGTATCACTTTTAGGGGGACAGGATTTGATCAGAGTTTACATAGGGTCATGTGTTATGAGATGTAACTCAAAATACCACCCTAAATCTGAAAGGTACTGTGCCACCCCACAGCAAGAGTTTATTAAAATGTCATAGAGGAACCTCGCTTTACCCCTGTTGGAGGTTGTCGTCTGGCTCTTGCCTGTGGTCTGACTTCTCAAGCTGTTTCTCGTGGGGAAATGAGCCCAAGATGAGGTGAAACAAGTCCCAAGGATATTTTAAACATGTATCACTAGCTTTTCTGGACTTTTGCTCATCCATGAGTTACCCTACGCTACTCCCAAACAAAAAAAAAAGTTCTTAAACTTCTCAACAGTTACTAAATGTGCTGAAGATGAAACAGTCCTATAGACGCAGTCACGTGCAGCCACCTTTCTGAAGCAAGCCGGAGGAGCGTGCAGCACCTCTGGCTGGAGGTCCTCCGTTTGCAAGCTGCTCGTTGTGACGTTGCTTTCTACTCTTACCTCAGGTGTTTTTTTCTGGGCACAAGAACTACTGTATTGAAATATAGTGAAAATTCTGCAGAAAACTTGTAAATCGTATCAGATGTCATCAAGTAGCGTTTATGTGGATCTTCCCTGAAACTTCCACAGAACACTTAAGAAATCCCTAAACAAAATAAAATATGTATCGCAGTTTAACAGCGTCTTGCTGAGCTATCAACATTATGAAAAGATGCAACTGTAAGTCATCTCAAAAGCTACCAGCTGGCATGTTGCCAAATTTTCTTCTTCGTCCTTCCGACCAGAAGATTCAGTTATGTCTACTGTTTAATTAAAGTTATTAAAAAGTTGTGCTGCATGACATGGTCTAAAAAAAAAAAAAAAAGTTGCAAAAGCCATTTACATCCGACAATAAGTTATAGCAGATTCATTTAGTTGCTCTGCTTCCAAGACATCACTGACGACTGGGATGTTTTGGAAGCAAAATTGTTAGAGATCTCTGCCTTCTCTCCACCCCAAACCATCAGTGATTTATATCCTGTTCTCACAGCCCGTGTTGGGTATAACCAGAGGGCTCCCGCTTTCCCGTGCCGTGCCGTCTCAGACCGGTGGTACCGACCACCTCCTGCAGGTTGTCACGTTCCACCGTTTCACAGTCCTGCCTCTTTTCTGGGTCCTGAACTTCTCACGGAAACTCTGAACAATACTAGCCCATAACCAAAAGTTAGAGACAGCGCAGAGCATCCTGAGGAAAACAGCATATTTAGAGACTTCCAGGATGATACCCAAGGGGCAGGTATCCAGGAGAAAGCCTGCATGTCCATAAATCCATGTGGAAAGCTCCGTGAAAGCAGCGTTAACTCTATGGTAGATACCCTGGTGTCCATCCCAAGCTTCGTTGCCAGATCAAAACGTAGTCTTTCCTTTTCTTTCAACCGTAGAAGACGTGCCAAGGTCATATATACATTTGACGGCTTCAAGTATTTGTGAAGCCCGTCAGGCCTCCCCCAAATCATGTCATTACCATCAAAGAAACTTAAGAGACTTGTGTTTTTTCTGTTCTTTGACACTTCAGGACTGAAACTTCTCCCTTCAAACACAAGTGTGAGACCCTTATTTATTTTTAAATAGAAGCTGTGATTTTCACATATTCATCCAACTCTACCATTTGTGGCTTAAGAAAATAAGAAATGTCACAAGACTTGTGACAAAAATCACAGGATCTGGCAACGCTGTGCTCTGTGATATCCCACAAATAGAAGCAGCAGTTCCCCACAGGGGGTCTTTCTGTAAGGACTTACTGCCGCAGGAACGGGGTCCACTGTGTTCCCACGTAGAGCACTCGGCACTTCCCAGGCTCGGGCGCTCCATGTCTCCAGCATGGCGAACACATTCTTTCATTTGTTTCAAAGAATGAATTTTCATTTAAAAGGAAGTAAGGATCAGATACCCTCCTATAGCAAATAGCATGTCAGCTGGCTTAGAAACCATTCCCTGTTCAGTATTTAGCATAACATCTTTAAAACTGTCTTTCAGTTTTCTGCAAGCAGTCGAAGCTTTAACAACAGACCAGTGCAACAGCCTCAGCAGAGTTGCCCGCTCTAGGAAAACAGTTTTAAAATACAGGGTGAGGGAGTGCAAATAAGCAATTGCTCTGATAAACACTGTCGCCAGTTTTTTAATCTGTGAAGAATTACCCTGTCATACTGTAACATACATCAATTAAATTATAAGCATCCATGCAGGGAGGGGGCTGTCTTGTGCTTGTTTATGTAGTTTGTAGCATTTTAACTTGTTCTTTAAGTGCAAGCCATCGGTTCCATAAAATACACAAGGAAATGCAAGTCTTCTGTAGCAGAAATGGGAGCCTGAATCCTTTTGAAATCACTGGCTGGCAAACACTTAAGGGTTAACTTAATAAATATGAGTTTTTACATGTCTATTTTAGAGTCTCAGCTGCTTTCATCTCCTTCCTGCACAGCACTTACTTTCCTTCTGACAATAAATAATGTTTACATGAGCAATAAAGCTAACTTCAGGGGGTGCAGCCGTCATAAACTAGACACAGTCCCAGAGGGAAGAGAGCCACAAATCTTAGAAAAACAGTATGGGTGTTGTTTCCTTATCTTGCTGTAACTTTGCTGCCTCTTGTGCCAGACACCTAAATAAATGACAGTAATCCAGTGCTCTGGCACAGAGACAGTAAATTTGCCTACCTTCACTGTTGCTTCCCATGGCTATCAATGTCCTTGTCACCTCAAGGTTTTACTTTCCCCCATCAAACATTACTCAGATTGGCCTCATCTGTAGAAGAGGGTAGCTGGGCTCCCTCCTCACGCAGCGTGTTGACCCAGACTTCCCAACAAGTGAATTTATTTCACTCAGTGACTTGCAATCATATGATAGCATTTTAAAGTCACATGAGAAAATTAAAATGCCGGGGAGCTAAATCATTAAATCCAATTAGCGTAATTGCAGAGATGTAGAAGAGGAAGGAAATTGAAAAGAGCTGCAGACAGGCAGGATCAAGCATAACTGGGCCGCCCTTCACATGTATACCTTACCTGCTTTTAAAAAATCAGGCACGATATTACCAGTAGAAGAGAAGAGTTCCCTCCCGTGCCTACGGCTCTGTTTAATCCTAGGTTGAGATGTGCCTTCTTTGCAAATTGGTTGTTTAATCATTTGTCCTACAGTCTTTCCGGGTATCAGAGAAGCACCTCCGTTCTGATACTTTTGGAGGTTCTCTGCTCTCCCCTTATTAAAGTTAGATTTGCCCTTTCCCATCTTCTAAGACCTCCCTTGTCCCTTCACAGTTTCCTGAAGCCGCATCAATGATGGTTCAAGTGTTGCTTAGCGAATGCCTTAGTGCTTTAGGATGAATTTCGTCAAGGAATCAAATTTATCTTAATA